CTGTTGGGGTTTGGTAAGTCCAACTTATCGTGAAAACGACCTCAACCCAAAGAACCACTCGCAATTAATAAAACCATAAAGCATAAAAAATAAACATAAAAGGATAAAATCGGAAAGTACCTTTAACGCGTGCTTCGCCCGACCTAATGGGCTCTTACTTGAAAGCTTTATTAGCTCCGAAAATACCGAGCCTCCAACGGTATCCACCCACAAAGGACGAACACCGACTTTTAGGTCCTCTACCTTGGAGTTAGCAAGGTCCGACCATAACCCGAGTAATTAAATGAGTTCAAAGGTTTTCACAATGATGATGCCTTTTTCAACTCTCACTCAAGTGATTTTCCCAATACCCCAACTTGGGTATTTATAAGGAAAACAAGAGAGTGAAAAAGCTCTCCCATCAATGTGAGAGAATTTGGTTTTTCCATTTTATTTTAAAGCTAAAATAAAATAAATAATCAAACTAGTAATAAATCAATAAGTGGCAAGCTCATGAGAGAGGTTAGGTGAGGACCATTTGGAGGAGGGGGGGCCAAACTTGCTCCCCACTCCCTCTCCAAAAACCGACCACCTCAACCCTCAAGCTTCCTCTTACAATGCGCCACATGGCACCACACTTGGGCACAAAGGCACCCAAGGTGGGCTGCCATGTGTGGCTGCCAGCAGGCCCAGCACAAGCGTGCGGCCTGCTTGGCGTTGCTGGCCAGCAAGCCAAGCACGGCTTGTGCGGGCTGCTTGTGCACTCGGCCAGCAAGCCGCGCATCAAGGATGCGGGCTGCTGCTGAGTACCGATGCTCCTCGTGCGCGTTGGCCAGCGCTGCTAGCATGCGATGCTAGCATTGGTGCGCTAGCACGCACCAGCCAGCCTAGGCTCGGCTTGGTGCGCATGCTAGCCACCATGATATACCAAATGCCCCTAGCACTTGGTTTGCTCGGGGCATTCCGATGCTAAGGGTATTTTGGTCTTGTTGATTTATTATTTTCGTGTCTCGTCTTTTATTATTTTGAATCGACTTCCGACTCTCGGTTTCGACGCTCTAAGCTCGAATTTCCGACGTCTAAATATTCAATACTCGGGCGACGAATTAATTTCCTCTGAATTAATTCATCGAGTCTGTTTGTATATTTGCTAGGGTGTGACCCGAAGGGTTCTGTCAAGATTAAGCTGTAATATTAATTATACATTAATATTATTGATCGGAAGCGGCCTCCACCTAGGCATTCCGATCACTTGACCTTACTGAATATATTAGCTTTCTAATAATTCTGAACCCGCTATCAGAATAATGCACTTGTTCGAAGGACACCATTCCTTTCATAGTACTATATAGAACCCCTCAATTAAAATACAAACAAAACTAATAAGTTAAACAAGCTACACATATAGCAAATAGCTAGCTACAACTATATAGTATGGACAATAAGAAGTCCTTTGCCCCCTGAGTCAAGATTAATAGCCTAACCTTGTCCAATCAATATAAATATGAGGCCCATGTCCCAGCTTTCTGGTATACATCAAGTAGTTTTGATGCTAGGACTTACCATTTGACCTAGCCATTCCCGTGTTGATACAACCTGACCAAAATATGGGTCAACCCTGAAAGGGAGTATATGGACTCTATGTTACACTTCCTAACCTTAGATTAAATTTGGAGTATATATATATAGCGAAATGCACATGAAAATTAGAAAGAAAAACGCACAATCACCCTATATGACCTACTGCACTGCTTATTTCATGCATATTTATCAGCGGGAGCAGCAGACAGAAGGCTATCAACTTGTGGCTGATAAATAGATTGCCCTTTATATTGTTTAGTCCTTTTTTGCTTTCACCTTTGTTCTCTCTTTCATGTATTCTTTACAATAAGATGTATCGGATACTTAATAGAACGTGTTCCAGGAATCACAACCACATTTATTAATAAAGGGATTCAAATTTCTGAATTTCAGTTCTAAGCTTCAGTTCTGAATTTCGGACTAATTTCAGTTCTGAATTTCAGTTCTAAGCTTCAATTCTGAATTTCAAACTAATTTTAGTTCTAAATTTCAGTTCTAAGCTTCAATTCTGAATTTCAGACTGATTTCAGTTCTGAAATTCAGTTTTGAGCTTCAGTTCTGAGTTTCAGACTTATCTCAGTTCTGAATTTTGATTTTGAGCTTCAGTTCTGAATTTTAGACTGATTTTAAATGAGCCAAAAAAAAATTCTTATCTTCAAATATAATTTCATGTTTTCAAAACATATGTTCTGTATCCTGGCAGATAACATGCAAATGTGCGGGAGGAGGAGATGCACATGCGACAACAATGGCACTTCTCAGCTTGCTGTCAAGCTATTCATGGGATGCAAAGGTAGCCATAGCTCTAACGGCACTAGCAATAGCCTATAGAGAGTTTGGGTTAGTGGTTAAGCTCTTCTCTAGTCACCCTCTCGCCAAGTCTGTGGCTCTCCTTAAGCATCTACCTACAAAGAGGATTGTTGAGTTCAGGCAGCTGCCTTAGCAATACATCTCAGCTGAGCAGCCGCCTTTATCTGTTGCTATGACACACATTCCTACTGCTGCTTACTGGACTATCAGGAGTGTTGTGGCCTGTGCCACATAGATTTTCAGTCTTATTGGCATGCGCTACGAGTGAGTTACTTTTAATCAAAACAATCTAATCTGATCATTAGTTTATTTCCTATCATTCTCCAAGGAAGTAAGTTACGCACTCCATGCAGCACCCTCAAGTCTAATTGATTCTGAGATAGAATTTTCTTCTTTTCCCTGTACGTTTAGCCAGCTCACAGTCTCACACTAAAGGTAGCTTAAACAAAGTTGCAATATTGGAGCAAGTTGTCCCCAATAAAGGAACACACCATGACAGCACACAAATTACTAATCTGAAACATCTATAATCACAATGTAGGAACAGATCTTCAAAAGGAAAGAATAGCTATCATCTCAAACATCAGTAATCACAATTCAAGACTAAGAACAATGACAGCACACAAACTGATAACAACAATGACCTGCTCAACAGGACATAAAAATAAGTTCAAGATCGCTCATAAAAATAAGCTTTGAATTAAGTTCTGAAAGTCAGCTTTGAATTCAGTTCTGATTTTCAATTCTGAATTTAATTCTGATTTTCAGCTCTGAATTATGTTATGAATTCAGTTCTCATTTTCACTTTCGAATTCAGTTATGATTTTCAGTTCCGAATTCAGTTCTGATTTTCAGTTCCAAATTGAGTTATGATTTTCAATTCCAAATTGATTTATGATTTTCAGTTCCGAATTCAGTTCTGATTTTCAGGTCCACTTCACATAATCCAATATATGTAAAGACCATATATTACATTGAGAAAGATTAAACGTTCATGTAAATTTTTTTTAATAGTGTAAAATAAAGATAGCATAACATCCTAGGCCGAGGGATTCTAATGGATAGAATATTATTATTAAATGACGACTCGTTACATCATAAACTAGCAAAAACCCATGACTGCTCCTTGACAATAAGATGGAATACATTTAGAAGATAATTATAAATTAATCATAATAAATTCTACACAATATTATACAACACATACATAGACAAGTCGGGTAACTAACCATCACATCTCATTTTAACATTGATGGTCTGGTGGCAGAAATACACCTTTGCAAAACTCTATTCATCAGGCTACAACACTGATACTTTAGCAATTTAGTATTAGACAAAGCTCTTTGACAGTCAAGAGTCAATTCAAGTTTTCCTTTACAAATAAACATAAGACATAATGACCTTCGAATATCCACTTACTCCCCTTCCCTTCCCCAACCCAAGGTCGAACATCCAATTCCTCCCATCCTGCTCCCCAATGGTGACCGGACATCCAATTCCTTCCCCTCCCGCTCCCTAATAATACAGCCAATAGAAAGGCCAGACATTCATTATTTCGCCACCCTCTCAACAATAGAACGACATAAATGAAATATTATAAGCAATCAAACCCAAAAAACCAATTATTGACTACCAGAATCGAAATATTAAAAGAATTTTGCCAAACTTAGGGTTCATAATTCGAATCAAGGCGCACACCTATAATATTAAAAATACATTACATTCACATAATCATATATTCACAAATGAATGAAATCACAATTTCAATTAACAATTAAAAAAAATAGATTATTAAAAAACTAAACCTGAAGAGTGGAGTTTTGCTTTGTCGAAGAGAAAGAACTCAGAGAAGGCTAAAGGAAAGCAGGCGAACACCGGTCGGCCCTCGTCGGAGTGCGGCCAACGTCGATCTGAGAGCAGCATCGGTCCTTGAATGAGAGTGAGGAGAGAGGAAGTCAGTAAGAAGTTAGGGTTCTTCAATGTTTTCCTTCTGTAAAATTGGGAATTGGGGATAAGTAAAAACAAAAAAAAAAAAAGAAAAGAAATAAAGGTGTGTAGGCAAAAGAAGCGCAGTCTAGTAGGCAAGTGCAGTACCAACTATTTTCTTTTTTATTTTTCGTTTTCCTAAAAAAAAAAAAAATAAATAAAATAATAAATTTTTTTGTTTAAAATTAAAAAAAGAAAAATACAAGTGAAGTGTGAGTGACCGGCCTTAATAAAGCCCCTTAATAAATCCCCTTACAATTAATATGGTCTATAAAGTTTGACTTATTATTTGTAACTGACATTTTTTATGCCCATTACTAAAAGTTGGTCACCCTATCATTAACCTACTAGTTGTAACTGACCTTGGTTATACTAGTTACTAATACTAGTTTATTTGTAACCCGCATTATCTATGCCAGTTACTAATACTCTTTTTGTAACTAACATAATTTATGTCAGTTACTGCTAGGGCGTTACAAATATCAGTTTTTCTAAGAGACCATTTATCATTGATAACGGGTCTCAAATTTCATTTCTTTGCGTGGTAAAAAAACTTTAGAGACCGGTTATTTAAGTTAACTAGTCTCTGTGGTTTTCTTTTATTATTTTTTTAATAATAAAAACAATTTGAGACCGGTGGGGTAGATAACAGGTCTCTAGAAAATTTATTATTTTTTTTTTACATTAAAAATTCGTAGAGACCTGTTTTTTCAGTTAACAGGTCTCTGTAGAATTTTTACTAAACTGAAAAAACCTTAGTTGTTTTTAACTCTCTGCCTCTTCATTCACTTTCTCTTTCTTCTCCCTTCCCCCCTTCGCCTCCTCACTTTCTCTTCCAGATTGTTCCTTTCATTGTTCTCCATTTTCCATCATCTCCCATCAACTAGCTACCTCCCACAATTTTATCATTGTAGCTATCATCATCCGATTCGTCTTCATTTGAGCATGCATTAACAGGAAATGTTTTAATTTTGGGTTTAATAGCCATTTATGTACTCCATTATAAATTCCTGGTATTTTTTTTTAGATCTTAGCTATTTTATCATCTTTGCAAAACTTAGAGATCTGTATTTTTTTTTTATGTTTATATTTTGTTTTCATTTTATGTTCTTATATCGTTTTCCTAAAATTTTGATAAACATTTGTTCATCTAAATTTTTGTTTGCTTTTGGTTTTCAATTCTGATTTTTATAATAATAATTTAGATCTGTTTTTAATTTTCGTTTTAGATCTTTTATTCTCTGTTTTCGATTTTTATTGTTCAATTTTCATTGTTTTCGTTTTTATTTTTCGTTAAAAAAACTCTTTTTTCTTTAAATTTTCATATTTCATTCTATATTTGAGTTTTCATATTTCATTCCATTACAAAAAAAAAAAAATAAAAAAAAAATAAAAGAAGTTTTTATTTTCATTTCTATTTTGAATTTTGTTTTAGATCTTACCGATTTTAATTTGTTTCTTTTTTATGGTTTTTTTCCTATTTTATTTCAATAGTACATTTTGGTATAATTTGTGACTATAAAAACTTGGTAATTTCGTGTTCGTAGAAAGGAGAGATGGTAGGCATCTCCCCTGATAGGAATGGGAATGGCCTCGGGCTTTCTTGTTAACTTGGTAGTTTCTTAATTTATTTTTGGTTAATTTTTTTTTCTTCTGTTTTTGCTTTTTAATTTCATTATTTATATTTACATTGTTATTATTATGAATTTGATTTTTTTTAACTCCGTATAACTTCCATTTAGTGTAAATCTTTAATTCTATTTTTTTATTGTGTTTAGTGTAAATCTAACCTTATTATTGTTTGCTGTTATTATAGGTTTATCTATGATCTAAATTTTAATGGAGATGATGATATGATGATGACGAGGATGAAGACCGATGATGATGAAGAAGATGAAACACTCCAATGAAACAAGTGGATGATGGTTCATTTTTAGTGTTAATTTTTTTTATATCATCACACATTAATAGATTATAGTACCTAGTACTATAAATTATGTAATACATACAATAAATTATCTAAAATGTAAATGTTACATGTATAATGTATAGTTCTTTAAACAATATTTATTAAAATTGTATATTTGTTTTTGTAAATTATTTTTTTTAAATAAAATGTAGCAAGAGACCGCCTATCTAACAAAACTGGTCTCTCTTGAACCCACAAAAGAGACAGCTTTTCTAAGTTCACAGATCTTAATTATTAAAATGAGAGACCGCTTTTCTGACAAAAAGGGTCTCTTATGCTTCTACAATTTTAATATTTCAACTATCCAAAGAAACTGCTTTTCTTAGATAACAGGTCTCAAGTTTTGAAACTTTAGACCGCCTATACAGAAGCAGTCTCTTAGCCAAAGAGACCGCTTAGCTAGAGACCGCCTCTAAGGCAATCTCTTTGGCTAATTTGAACGGGTCTCTTTGGCTAATTTTGTAGTAGTGTATTATTATTATTATTATTATTATTATTATTATTAATAATGCTTAATAAGCATGTTGGCCAGGTAATCCCACTCTGCGGATTTGGTTTATTGATAAGGTCTTGGACTTTGTATGATCGGGTCTTTCCTCAAGAATAGCCTTGTAATATAATGAGACTAGTTTGGGGGGTGTGCACACTTGGGTGAGGAATTGGATTAAAAGGAATAGGTTTTTATTGGAATTGGTTTTATCAACTATTATTTGAATATTGAATCATTGGAATTGGTTATATAAATTAAATCATATTTATTGAATTATTGGAATTGGTTTGAGAATATGGAGAATTGGTTTTGAATCAAGAGTTTTGGAATTATTGGATTAATTATTGAAATTGATTTTAAAAGCATGTTTGCAAATAAATTGATTTTATATTATCTTGCACTTATCATACTTAACATATTTAGCTAATCCGTATTTCTTATTTGTTTTGGTTTGCCCTGTTTACCGTAATGGTAAGCAGTGTTGATTATTCTCAGGTTGGCTCTATCCATGCCCAGGGCCGACTACGAGCTAGCCAATGCTCTCGAACTGGACCCCTCAGTTCATAGAACTGTCATGTACTAAGTAGGATGTTATGCCGGCCCCCAGATTCTCCGCCATGCCAAGGACATAGCAGAGAATAATAAAGGGGCCCGTATACTTATAGTGTGGGCTGAGACTGTGGCTGTTAATTTCCATGGTCCTTTTGAAACCCATATTGAATCTTTGGTAGGCCAAGCCTTAAATGGTGATGGGGCAGCAGTCGTCATTGTTGGAGTTGACCCCGATTTCTCAATTGAGAGACAGTGTTTCCAAATAGTTTCAGGCACACAAAGGACTATACCTTACACTCAAGGTGAGGTTACCTCCATAGGCGGACCTACACAGTGTCCTGGGTGGCATGTGCCCACCCTTTATTAAAAAAAATCTGATTGGCCCTTTAAAAAAAAAATTATAATAAGTGTGCCCCCACTTTCCCGTCAGAACATCCCCATTAGATGATTAGAGTAGTTGTAAACTTGTTTGATGCTCTGACAATTGACAAAAAGTAAAAAAATTAAAAAAAAAACCTTAAAAGTACAATTAAAAAAAAAAGGAATACTACTACTTCTAGAATTCTACACCTAACCCCTATTCCCCTAAAATCTAATATTTCCAATTTTTTCACTTCTCAAAATCCAATTACTCGTACAAATCCCCAAACCCCAATACCCCAACCACACTAAAAAACAAATAGTCCCCAACAGTAAAAGAATATCAGTACTTTACAATTCTCCGTATTCAACAGTTATAACCTTTAGGTTTCAACGAAAGTGAAAATTGGTCGAATTCTTGTGTGATTTTGTATTGTTTCTTGTTTGTGGGTGTCACATCCACCAAATTAAGGTCAGTTATTTTCTTATTATCCTTTGTTATTCTTTAATGTTCTAATTTTTATCCTTGATTTTGTTGTTGAATGTTGATATTTTTAATAGATTTTATAATTGAAATTGATACGAATCATATAATATGTTGAATATTGCACATTAATAATTTGTTACGGTGGTACTTTATTACTATTAGTAAATTATAAATTTGTTTGAGGGAATGAGGGATTATCAATTAATTGTAAATCTATACAAAATAATTGTATCTTGTTAAAGTAATTGTAAAAAATCTAATTATACTCCTTTAAAATTACAGTATGAAGAGAACAAAAACAAGAGATATTACAAGTTTTTTTTTCAAAAAGAGTTCATAAAGAATTTGGTGCTACCTCTAGTCTTAATCCTCCCCAATCTCAAGAAAATCAACCTCCCTCAAAATTTAGGAGGTGAAGCAGAAATTGGAGCTAGTTCAAATCCTAGGACTGAAGCTCCAAACGATGAAGAAAGATTAACTGTGGTTGATGTTATAAATCTTCCTCATGGTCCGGGACTAAGTAAAAAGATATATGAGTTTCATCCAAATGACAGGAATCTTGTTAGGAGAGCATATATTCAAAGAAAACTTTGCCATCCTAAAGACTATGAATTTCCTCAAAGACCTTTTGGGCCGAAAATGTGTCGATTTAACCCTAATTGGTTCAAAAACTATAAATCTTGGCTTGAGTATAGTGTTGAAAAGGATGCAGCGTTTTGTTTTCCTTGCTATTTATTCAAGAATGAAAATTCACCGGGTGGAGATGCTTTTGTAAGTGGTGGATTTAGAGCTTGGAATAAAACAGATGCATATGATAAGCATATTGGAGGACATATGAGTGCCCACTATCAAGCTATGGCAAATTTAAATGCTTTTAAAAATTAGAAGGGTTCCATTGCATCTGGTTTATCTAAGAAAATTTAGGATATTATGAGTAAGTATCGAAAGAGACTACAAGCTTCTATTAAGTGTTTGAGGTGGTTATTACTTCAAGGGTTACCCCAACGTGGTCATGATGAAAGTGAGTCTTCGTCGAATCGAGGTAATTTTTTAGAACTTCTGAAATTTCTTGCAACTGAAAATTTTGATGTTCGGCAAGTAGTTCTTGAAAATGCTCCGAGTAACTCTCAAATGACCTCTCCTACTATTCAAAAAGACATCATTAATGCTTGTGCAAAAGAAACAACCAAAGCAATAATTGATGAATTGGGAAGTGATTTTTTTGCTATTCTTGTTGATGAGTCTGCTGATATATCTGATAAAGAACAAATGGCTCTTTGTTTGTCATACATAAATAAAAGAGGAGAGGTGAATGAGCGCTTTCTTAGTATTATCCATGTTGCTGATACCAAATCTCTGACACTAAAAGCTACAATTGAATCATTACTTATGGAGCATTCTCTCACTTTTTCTAGAACTCGTAGTCAAGGTTATGATGGTGCCAGCAATATGCAAGGTGAAATTAACGGCCTTAAAACTTTAATTAAAAGTGAATCTTAATCTGCATATTTTGTTCATTGTTTTTTCCATCAACTCCAATTGACTCTTGTTGGCGTAGCTAAGAAAAATGCTGATTGTGGGTGGCTATTTGTTGATGTGCTTGCACCATTATTGAATTTTGTGGGTGGTTCACCTAAGAGAAAAGAATTTCTTCGACAAAAACAGGATGAACATGTTGCAGAGGCACTAACATTGGGTGAACTTGAATCGGGAACTGGTTTAAATCAAGAGCGTAGCTTGAGTAGACCCGGCAATACTCGTAAGGGTTCTCACTATAGAACCATTTTGAAAGTGCTTAATTTGTATCCCACGATTCTTGAGTCACTTGATGACAGTGGAGCTATTTCTGATCGTGTTGATAGGAATAAAGTTGAGTCACTTATTCACTTATTGATGACATTTGATTTTATCTTTGTGGCACATTTGATGAAGAGTATATTTTCTATTACAAATGAGTTGAACATGAATTTACAAAAAAGTGATCAAGATATTGTCAATGCAATGACTATGGTTGATGTAACTAAGAGACATTTACAAGAGTTACAAGATGATGGTTGGGATTCTCACATGGAAAAAGTAACCACAATTATGGTTAAGTATGACATTGAAATTCCTAACATGGAGGAAAAGTATGTTGTCTAGGGAGACGACAATTTCGTAGTGGTTGGCCACAAGTGACTAATCTTCACCATTTTTGAGTTGAAGTTTTTCTAAGTGTCATTGATCTACAATTGCAAGAACTTGATTATCGATTTGATGAGGTAAGTAAGGAATTACTTATATGCATGTCTTGCTTCAATCCCATTAACCAATTTTCTTCTTTTGACATTAACAAATTGATCCGACTTGCTAGATTTTATCCCAATGAATTTTCGAGTGTTGAAATTTCTTTTATGGAAGATTCACTTAAAAATTTTATTGTGGATATAAAAAGTGATGAGGGATTTTTGAATTTGAAGAACCTTAATGAGCTTTTCATGAAACTTGTTGAGACACAAAAGAATGAAACTCATCCGATAGTATACCTGCTTTTGAAGTTAGTGTTTCTTCTCCCTTGGCGACAGCAAGTGTTGAAAGAGCTTTTTCAGGAATGACTCAAATTAAAAGCAAATTGCGCAATAGCATGGGAGATCAGTTGTTGAATTATTGTTTGGTTACTAGTCTAGAAAAAGATTTGTTTTTGAATGTAAGCATAGATGCTATCGTAAACCGATTCCAAAATATAAAAACTCGACGAGAACAATTGTAACTTTTTAAGTAGAAATTTGTTATGATCGAAATTTTTTATTACATTATGAATTTACCTCTATGAATAGAAGTTTTTTTATAAAAAAAATAAAAAAAAAAAATCGTCTATATCCTTTTATGTTGGTAGATATTGGTGCCCCCTTTGTTGAAAATCCTAGATCCGCCACTGGTTGCCTCAACGATTGTTAGCATGGGACAAACATTTGGCCTCGGTAAAAGCTTCCTCGTTTAATTTGTAACAACATTGAGGAAAGTCTAGTTCAACTATTTAAGCCCATTGGGATCGACGGCTGGAACTCGATCTTTTGGATTACCCACAATGGTGGTGCAGCAATTCTAATGGGATTGAGTCCAAACTCCAGCTCGATGTAGAAAAGCTTGAGGTCACAAGGCATGTGTTAAGTGAGTATGGTAATATGACTAGTGTTGGCGTGTTGTTTATGATGGATGAAATGAGAAAGAGATCACTTTTACAAGGTAAGATGACAACCGGTTTTGGTTGTGAATGGTGTGTTATGGTTGGATTTGGTCCTGGACTCACCATTGAGGCCCTAGCTCTGCGGAGTGTTCCTATACATGAATAAGTACTATGCTCAATCTTGTATATATTGCCAAATCGGCTTAATTGTAGCATCCATTTGTTGTGTTTCAATAATTGTGAGAATGATTAAGTGTTATGCTCACTTTATGTTGTGTTTGAATAACCGATCCTGAAACGAAAGTTGGGTTTATTAAAAGTAAATTGGTCAAGTATTATTAAGATGAATTTTTCCTCAATTAAAAAAAAATGAATTTTTCCTTTTTCATATAGGATTAAACCTTGCTATTATTCAGTATTAAACTATCAACCAAGGGGAAAGCCGGGAATTTAGGATGAGGAAGGTCCATACTTTGTTGAAAAATGAGTCAATCCCCATTGATATCCTATATCAACAAGTTTTGTTGATATAATGGCATTTCTGCAATTATGATACCTACTTTTTGCAATTTATTCATTGTTTAATACTATTGGTGAGCTGGACCCCGTTTTATGAGTCAAATGTGTCACGGTGAAGTTAACGTCGTCAAGTGTTTATTGTGGCCAACCCTTTGCTTGAAAGAAAAGAAGAGAGAGAAACACATATACAGAGATAGAGGGGGTACTTTCATGGCGATTTTCCGATAGATCTGGTTTGATTTTCTGCTCGCCCGTTTGCAAAGTTCGACCTCGATATCCGAATCCCTCCTTTAACTGATTATTGTGTGGTCTGGGTTCGTGAAATCGACGCATCGGAGCTGAATTGAAGTTGTTCGTAGTCGTAATTTTTAGGTAAGTTGTCCAATCCATGGGTTAATTTGGTTTGTATATTCGTCGTTGGTTCAGTTGATGTTGCTGGAAATGTACGTGGTTTAAGGTTTTATTGATTGTTCTACAACCTCCAATGAGTCATAATTGTAGACTACATGTGTTATTTATCGAGGAATATTTGAATTATGAAAAAGGAAATTATGTTGCTTGTTGGGAAAAACAAATTTACTGACTCAATTTGCTTATTGTTAATGTTTATTTTTTTGATTCATATAGGGAATTGCGTTGATTGTTAGGAAAATTATTGTTAATGATTGAAGTCGTCTTATGTGATATGTACATAGTTTCGATTCGATGTTTCTGCATGATTGCAGTACCGCGAAGACGATCAATCTACTGAGTGGGGTAATCGAAGAAACTGCTACTGCTGAGTAATTGAAGATGGCGAAATGGGCTGAACAAAGTGAAACTACTGAGTGATTAAAGATGGTTACAGGGTAACAGGAATGAAGGTTGCGAAATTGCTGAGTTATTGAAGATCGATGGTGGGTGAGCTGGAGCAATTTCAGAGATTGTGAATTGCAGAGAGCAATAGTTGACAGCTCTCCAACGTCGTCTGTCCTCGAAACGGGGTATTGTTCAACGGGATGTGTGGGCAGTCCTTGTGTCGACGATTTTGCCCCTTATTTAATGACTGAAAAGACACTGATGCCCTTATATCAACAAGTTATGTTGATATAGGATATCAACTTGTATTTCCTCGTTGAAAAATATCACAAAATAATCCGTCTTGTGTGTGGCCAGCCACACCGTGCGGCCACTTATAACCCATATAAAACTGACCAAGTAACCCCTGTAATATTAATTGAGTAACCGCTATAACAATAACTGAATAACCTTATAGCACTGACGGAGTAACCCCTTTAACACTGACCAAGTAAACCCTATTACACTTACGAAGTAACTCTATTACACTTACGAAGTAACTCCTGCTTTTTTTTTAATTTACTTAAAAAAAAACAACAACAACAATAATAATAATAATAATTCGTATGTACAAAATTAAAAATAAATAAAATAAATCACCCTTCTTTCTTCTTTCTCTCTCCCCCCATCACCATATTCACCGCCATAGCCACCACCTTCCTTCTTTCTCTCTCCTTTCCCTTCCATGGCCTTCTCCATTGCCACTTCACCTCCCCTTAAAACCCACCAACAACAACACCTCTAGCCACCACCACACACACACACACCACCACTACCAACACACACGCCGCCACCACCACAAACGTACCTAGGAGAGAGAAAAATAGAGAATAGGAAAAGAGGACAACACACACAGAAAAATCAAGAGAGAGTGAAAATTTTTGGAAAATCTGAAGAAGAAAAAAATGTAATCGATTTCGTCGTAGTTGTTGATTTTGTCGGGGGAATTTCCGCCATTTTTACAGGCGAAATGCGTAGGTCGCTAAAAGTTTTGGGTGGGGGGCTTATTTTGTATGGGTGAGTGGTTATTTCGATGGTGTGGCGATGGGTATTGAGTGGGGAGAGGGCTGATTTTGCGAGGGCCAGGGTTGTTTTGGGGGTGGGGGTTGTTTCCAGGCGAGTAATGGGTTGTTTTGGAAGTTGGGTTTGGGGGTTTATTTTCATGAATAGTTTTTGGCCCCGTACAATGCACGGATTTATAAAGTAAGATTTCTTAGTAGTTATAATCGATTGACATTAAATAGAGTTAATTGAAATAAAATGACTTATATAATAAAAAAAAATTCAACTTTGAATTTATTAATGTCTATCTTTTAAATTCTTAAATTAATATGTGTTGCATAAATAAAATTTATTAAAAGAATTTAAATTTTTTTAATAGAATATTTTAAGGAAAATAAATGAATAGTATTTTGGAGGGAAAAAATTTCACAAAATTATGTCGAGTGTCTCCTTTGGTGATTACTTTAGTATATAGTATCGATAGATGATGGGTTTGTTAACAGGTGGGTGAGGTTGTTTTAGGGGTGGAGTGGAGTTGAGTCAGCTGGTTGAGGTGCGGTAGGTGGTGGCTGTTTTGGTGCTAATGGTGGCCAGAGGTGTAGTGGTGGTTGTTTTTGGTGTAAGGTGGTTAAGACTTGTGAATGAGGTAGAGCTTTGGGTTTGGGTGATGGAGGAAGATGATGGCAATTGGCAAATGGTAAGAGGAAGGAGAGGGAAAGGTTGACCAATGTTAAGGTAACCAGTCATTTGGATTCATTTTGGGAATAAGGTGTATAAAGGTCAAAGGTTGGTTTATTTTGAGAGGACGGGACAAAGGTTGGATTATTTAAAATTTTAAAGTAAATTTTTAATAACAAAAACACTACATAAAATAAACAAGGCATGTAACGGTTTTTCTACTTTTAAATTAAGTTTGCATACAGACAATCCTGTAAACACAAGCAATTTATGGGTCTTGACTCTCTTGAGAATTCTATTAAAGGTTCAACAGCTCATTCAATAAAATACCTGAAATGATTATTGTTTTTCTATTATAAACATAACCACAATACAAAAAAAAAATGTCATTTAACTTCTCATCAGCAGCTAAAGCTGTGAGTAATGTAGTTGAAAATACCAAAATTGATAATTGTTTATACTTTATAGTAACAGTTTGTTCTATATAGTACTACTATTTTACAAGTTCAAATTATCAATATTCACGTACAAAACCCATTATTAGCATGAGCAACGAAACAAGCAAGCTAGTGATTACATCTACCCAGATTAGAAGGATCGTCAATCAAACTCAATTGTTCTAAACAAAACCCAAGCTCTTGGGTTGGCCCAATAGCAGTAACAAAGCGTGTTTAATTTGCATTCAAATCATGCACATTGCATATTATGGGCAGAATCCTTTTCCCAGACTTCAACGCTTGCTTTTGTCATCCTTGTCGCTCATTTGCGGGGTATACTGACTGGTTGATGAAGGTGAATAGCCAGGAGCACTAGGAGAATAGCCTGCACTTGGACTGCATGAAGAAATAAATAGCAAGTCAGATATACCAGAATCCAAAGAGACTGCAAAAGCCAGAGCACAGCAATGATATTTTTATCGCTCATTCTCACCTGTACTGAGGAGAACTGGGGCTATAATCAGGGCTTGGACCTGAGCCATATGGGCTGAAAGCAGAAGACAGTGTCAATATACAAATTAATTTATAAATAAATAAATAAAAACCATGTATCCATCAAGTATCAACACCCAAACTCAAGAAGATAATGCAATGAATCAACCTAAAGGGAGGGGCACTATAAAGTATAAACCATTGTGAGAAGCTTCTGAAGGAAATATTGAAAGTTAGTCAATATAAGGGAGTTGACATACAGAAAAACATGTTGAACATAGATGAGAGTATTCTATTAGTATATAATACATATCCTAAGAGAGAACAAGCCTCTTGAATGCTTGCAATATCATTCCATTTCTGTAATTCTATAAATACACTAAAAACATAAACTAAGTAAACTCATCAGCAGAAATGTTCCTGTGAAAGTGTGAATTGATCATAAAACAATATTTTAAGGCTAATGTTACAAACAGTACCTGCTTGGACTATAGCTTGGGCTTGAAGGGGAGTAAGAGGGCGACGTCGGCGAGTAAGATGGTGATGTCGGACTGAAATAACAAGTAAAAGGCACAATTATAAGAACAAGCTGTAATAAGATATTTGCAGGCTCATAAACTTGTGTATTCTCTCATAATGAAGAATTGGCACAATTTAAAACCAAAAAAAAAAAAAACACTGATGCACAAGCCAAAACGTATACCTGTAATTTGGGAGGTAGGGCTGTAGGGACTGGATGGTGATATTCTTGGGCTGCTTGGAGAGTATGCCAGTGATGGACTGTATTTGGCTGAAGGGTTATAGCTTGGAGAAGTTGGACTATAACTAGGTGATGTAGGGCTATAACTTGGTGATGTAGGGCTATATCCTGGAGATGTAGGGCTGTAAGCAGGAGATGTAGGGCTGTACGATGGAGAAGTAGGGCTGTATGATGGAGATGTGGGGCTGTAAGATGGAGATGTGGGGCTGTATGATGGAGATGTCGGGCTGTACGACGGAGATGTCGGGCTGTAGGCTGGAGATGTCGGGCTGTAAGCTGGAGACGTGGGGCTGTAGGCTGGAGATGTGGGGCTATAGCTTGGAGAGGTGGGGCTGTAGCTTGGAGAGGTGGGGCTGTAGCTAGGAGATGTGGGGCTATAGCTTGGTGAGGTGGGAGAGTAAGATGGGCTTGTGGGTGAATATGCCGGGCTTGTTGGACTATAGCCAGGAGACCCAGGACTGTAAGTCGGGGAAGTTGGACTATATCCAGGAGAGGTTGGACTATATCCTGGAGAAGTTGGGCTATATCCTGGAGAAGTGGGGCTGTAACCAGGTGAATTTGGTGAGAGATAAGCAGGAGATGAAGCAGGAGAGAAGGCCATGCCGCCAACAAATGGAGAAAATGAAGCATCATTGATGGGCGAATGTCGGATATTTGGGCTAAGCAAGTAGCTAGGAGACATCATACTCTCATGGTAAGGTGTTCCAGAAATGGGCGACCGAGCAGGTGTCATCCCAAATTCCAAGCCTTCCACATAACTTGGAAGGTGGACTTCAATAGCATGCTGCAACATTTCCTCGTTAAGATATAATGAACAGCCACCAGTTCCAATTGGAGCTAGCTGTCCCAACATGATGTTTTCTGTTACACCCCTCAAATAATCAGATTCTGCATATACAGCAGCATCAAGAAGGATATCCACTGTTTCTTCAAATGAACATCTCATCAAAGGCCCAGTATCATTCCGGTTGATACCATGACGTGTAATAGCCATCAAATGTCCACGATATGTCATCGTATCACACAAAATAGCCAAATGGCGATAATTCACATAAGATCCATCAAAAGAAATGACAACCCGCAACTCATCTAGCAAGGCCTTACGAACAGCCTCAATTCCAAGAACTTCCATAACTTCAATCAAATGATTACTCGTCGTCCTTGTAGAATCAACTTCTTCATGACACATAACAGCAAGAAGATTGACACCTTCAGTATCCAACATCCACTCGGTTTCAGCCTTAAAACCTTTCTCCTCGTCAAATTTATTTACTTTACTCTGTTTGATGAACACCTTGTTGATATCTGGGATTCCCTTTAGTGCCATCTCAGTCAACATACTACCAGCAACCTTCTTAAGGAATACATCATCCTCAGCAGAATCATCCTCCATGTCACCCTTCTGACCTTCATCATTCACAATACGTATACGAAGGATCAACTTTTCAGCATTGTCATCAGTAAAAATACACGTCATGTCATCACTGAATTCCAAGTTGATTTTTTCCGCAATATCAGCCATGCTCAACTTTTTATCCACCATCATTTCACGGTTCAATTCTATACGAAGCAACCAAGGAGAAATTTTATCAGGGGAAACCTCTTCATCTGGCATTTCATAGTATGACCTGACAAAGTCGACATCCTCTTCAATGATAGTGCTCATAGGATCTGGATCGTACCACACTTCAGTGGCATGAGTCACACTTCGCAGGCATGTATATTCTAAGATACATTGCACATTTTTCGCCCTCTCCTTTGTCTTGCTAATTTCAGGATTTAAGAAGACTGATAGAGAAGGAGTTTTAATTTTCTTTGCAACGTTGATGATCTCCCTCAGCCTTGGAACACCAAGAGTGACATTCTTGGCACTAACACCAGCAAAGTGAAAAGTATTCAGGGTCATCTGAGTGGCAGGCTCACCAATGGATTGGGCAGCAACACAGCCTATCATTTCTCCAGGAGCTACCAATGACTGCAAAAACCGAGACTCTATTTCACCAATAACCCAATCGAATGCTTCGCGGTTAAGCTTGAACTCCCTCAAGACACGTTTGCTGGCAAGTGTACTGCGGAGCAAGATATTGAAGAAGAGTGTGGCATTCTTCTGAGCCTCTTTACTCAAAAAGTCATCACCAGGAACAACTTTCAACCTCTCCTGAAGCTTATCTACTGCTTCCACAATTTCCATTGGGTGCATATCAGACTTTTGTCTCATGTCAACCTTGAATGTCTTTTGAGCATTCCATAACAGCCTCTTAAGATTCACAGGTAATGGCCAAGAATTATCACCTGTGGTAGCAATATCAGTTGCAAGTTGACATCTATCTACTTCAAGTTTTTGAACCTCTGCATCAAACACATTACGGAACTCACGAATGGTTTTCAGATCATCCACATGCTCTTTCAACATATAATCTGGCTCCCAGTTATCAGCATCAAACTCATATCTGTATGTCGCCTCAAATTCTGACTTCTTCATTTTCAGGGAATCCAACTTCTGAGATTCTATCCAAACAGCATCCATGCCATCTTCACCATAAAGAAACTGTATAACATCTCCAAGAGAATTCCTCACAGTACCATCATACTTGACCATGATATCCTCCATAGCCTTAACTAGCCTTCTCTGTATGTAGCCAGTCTCAGAAGTTTTAACAGCAGTATCAATTAGACCTTCTCTACCACCCATAGCATGGAAAAAGAACTCCTGAGGAGTTAATCCTCTCAGGTATGAATTTTCCACAAACCCACGACTTTCTGGCCCATAATCATCCTTTGTGAAATGAGGTAATGTACGACCAACAAATCCAAAAGGTATCCGTTTGCCTTCAACATTTTGCTGTCCCACACAGGCAGTCATCTGGGATATGTTAATAAAACTTCCTTTTGACCCAGCAGTAACCATAGCCTTTAGGTTGTTTGTCTCAGACAGACTCCTCTGAGCACTACTTCCAGCATCATCACGAGCTTTATTCAAAACCTGAATATTAGCATCACTCAGTAACTTCTAGACACATAATGACATAAGAGCAATCCAAATGTTAAAAATTAAAAAATAAAGATTTCAATGACCTGATTAACTCTGTTTTCAAATGACTCCATCATCGTGCGACCAGGTTCAGGCTCCAACTGCTTTTCCTGAGCAGACCTAATCAGGTTTTTCACTTCATTTTTAGCTTGTGATATGGTCACATTGATGGTCTCCATGGTTGATGCATCAGCAATTGTATCTCCTATTCCAATACTAAAACCATTCTGCAATAGCCAGTAATTAACAAGCCACTGGGTATGCCCCAAAAATTTACGAGCAGCATCTGGTCCAACTTCTTCCCTGTTGAAGAGGAAATTTTCAAATAAGAATTACATATAATCGTCTCTATACTAGAATCTTATCCTGGGGAAGCATCATGCACAACAGTGATAGATCCACCATAATCAGAAATGGAAAGCAAATGCAAACAGATGGTACAAACTACTCTATTCATGCAACAGCAACTCAACAGATCAAAATTTGACTTGAAGCCAGCATAATCAATTCAAACAAATAAAAAACCATGCTACTTATGATCCTAATAGACTAGACAGCTAAACTTGATGTTTCGGGTAAACATTACATTAGTTCAAGCAGTATGATAAAAGATTCAAATAATAAAAAGGAAGGTTAAGGAAAGATAAACACACAAGTAGAAACAGATTGCAAAGTTTGTTAGCTATGCAAGTTCAAAAGTTAACTCTACCAAAACATTGACACGTATAAGAAAAACTCTATCCAGATGGTAAAAATAGAGGAATATACCAGATAACATGTATTAAACTCCCACTGGATGACCCAAGGGTCTTCTTACACAGTGTTCCAGAAAGTAGTTCTCCTTTCTCTATCAGGACACGAGTATCCCCTGGAGTAAGGAACCCTGTTTCGGTCTCCTGGTGCCATGCAGAAAATCTAACAAGATTTATCTGCTTTGGTATGATAAGATTGAATACTTGCTTTCCAGTCCATATAGGCCTGGGCTTTAAGATAGCTGGCTGAGGAACTTTCCCATCAAAATCCTCCCACCACATGAGAATATTCATAAAAACATCCTGTTACCCAGCGAACATAAAAAGGAAAAAGTTAATGAACTGAACTACTATGCAGCTATGAAACACAAAGAAGTACATATCATTGAATCAGTCACCTTTTCTATGAAGGTATCCCTCTTTGTGACTTTACGGCAACCCAATAGAGTATCCTGCACAATTCCCATAACAGGCCTGTTGGCTTGTGGGGAGACGATACATTTTGGAACCATCATTAGCTCAAGAACTTCTGCTCGAGTCTCAAATGACTGAGGAACATGCATGTTCATTTCATCACCATCAAAATCAGCATTGTAAGGTGACGTAACAGACAAATTCAGTCTAAATGTGGAATAGGGCATGATCTTTATTCTGTGACCCATAATGGACATTTTATGGAGACTGGGCTGTCGATTGAAAAGTACAAAGTCCCCATCATTCAAATGCCGTTCAACCTGTATTTAACCATAAACTAATGTCAGCAAACCCTTAGTCAACAAAGCAAAGGGGATAGATTTCATCTTCCATGAGTAGAAAAATGACCTTGTACCCCAGCTCCAAATGATGGTCACTACTCTTTTTCAAATAACGGAGATCAAGCCTCTGACCATCATCCCTTATAATGTACTTAGCTCCAGTTTTACCAGGAGGAGGATGTGGACCATAGTCAACAAGCTCTTTCAGCCTATACAACAGAAGCAGATTAGAACAAAGACTGGTAAACTTTCAGCAGATGAAACAGGAGTAAAAATACACCTTTCCAGATTATAAGGAGTCACAGTCTCCGGATATGTGAGATTTAACGCTATACTCCAAGGCACACCCAACTCATCAATGTTTATATTTGGATCAGGAGTAATGACAGTACGAGCTGAGAAGTCCACTCGTTTTCCCATCAAATTGCCTCTTATACGACCTTCTTTTGCTTTCAACCTTGTACATATTGATTTGATTGGTCTACCTGATCGTTGTGTAGCCTGGACACCAATATGGGATAACAGTTAATTCTAGCTCCTTAAAAACAGATCTAAAATGATTTCAATTTGAACAAAGATGTAGAAGGCAAGAAAAAAAAAAAAAAAAGCGCTTACTCTTGGCTGTCCAGGCAGCTCATTGTCAAAGTATGTAGCAATATGAAACTGCAGCAACTGTGCAAATTCAGAGATGATATGTGCAGGCGCACCATTCCTCTCTTGTCTTCTCAGATTATCATTATGACGAATGATCATAGCTAATTGATGGGTCAAATCATCCTACAAGTAATTGCAAATTAAAATCCATTATGGAACTATATAGCCAACACAGGGAGAATACCTGTACATGTCTCGCCAAATCTTATTATTTTACCATGCAGAAAATGAAAACAAAAGCAGACACTTGCCTCACTCCTAGAAGAGGTATCCATCATCACAGATGGTCTCACAGGAGGTGGAGGAATAGGAAGAACTTGAAGAATCATCCAGTCAGGGCGAGCATATCTGGGACTGAAACCCATCAATTGACAGTCTTCATCACTTATTCTCTTAAGAACACTAAGCACCTGAACATTTTAAAATGATACGAACTGCTTTTAATAATATTTGCAAAAAAGACAAAGCTAGAAAGTTAATTAGTAGACCATGACACAAACCTTTTCAGCAGTAAGCTGCTGCTTTCTCTCAGCAGGCTCAGGAAGCTGTTCCTGCTCATCACTTTTCTTCTTAGTATTCTTGTACTCGGCAATAATTTTCATACCTTCAATAGTGAAGGTTGGCTGTTGCGCACCACAGCCACCACGACTCTTCTTGGCAGGCTCTTCATCATCCTGATCTTGTACATCCATTGAATCACCTCCTTCACATTTCCTTTTGTTTTTACAGGCCTCCAATATTTTCTTCAAACGGTTTTTGGGATTTCTAATTTTCAATGCTTGCTTAAATTTGTGGTCTTCCTGCAATAATGAAGAAAGCAGCAACAAACCCATCAGTGGCAATTCAAACTTCAACTTGTAGGCAAATCGATAGCAACACAATGGTTGATGAAACATGTGTATATTAACCTCCTAGAAATCAAATAACATCTTTAAATAAGAATGTGCAACACTAACTCATATAAAGTTTATTGAGACATCTATTTTTAAATCACTGTTGCTTCCTTATGAGGCAACCCCACTGCCTATCAAGCCATGAGTAGGATACTGTTTTTGTCAGTGCCTCTTAGTTCAGAGGCTCAAAATTTTAATTTTTAAGTCAAACATCTTGTCCTACTGATTGACACCAGCAGTGAGGTGCTTAGACACCTCCTAAAACAAAGAGATGGCAGTTGAATCCTTTTACTCGTATGACTTAAAGGTTAGGGACCTTTGAGACAGGTATGATGTGCCATTTCTATTCAAGGGCAACTTATACACTTTGTCTGGATTGAAGAATGGGAGGGAAAGGAATGGGAGGGAGTGATTACCTTTCATTTTAATAACAAATGAGGAAGGAAGGGAATTGGAGGGGAGAGAAATGGAGGGATTAAATTGTAAGAAATTTATCTCTCCCACAATTTAGAGAGATTTGAAAGGAAAACTCATCTTTTTTCCCTCCCCTCCCCTTCACTTCCCTCCCCTTCTTTTCTTTCCCATTTCTCTATCCAAACACACCAATATATCTTGCAATCTTTAAAAAAATAAAAGGTATGGTCCTTTAAATTAGCCTAAATTAATAGAACAATTATGTTTTTCGTCTAAGATAAAGCTTCATAGAGCTACATCCAAATCATAGTAAGCATGATTACACAACATAATTGGCTTAGCCTTGTAAAACCATAGTAACACAAGGTATAATAGAATTCAAATTGACACTATATAACATATATGCATTCGTTCTGTATCCTCCTAAAGTGAAACTTGGTATGTTATTCCAAACTTCTCAACAAAGTTTACAGCTAACAATCAGTCCATGCTTCAAACACACTCCATTCACATCTACAACTACACATTGCCGGAAAAATTGCCAATGCAAGCACGAATCAAATAAAGAGTTCACCTCATCGGCCAGAATCTTGGAGCAATTGTAGCAAACACAACGCATAATACTCAGTACAGTCTTCAAAAACCCGATATGAAACATCGGCTTAGCAAGCTCAAGATGTCCAAAATGACCAGGACATTCCGCCATATTAGCTGTACATGTATCACACTTCAACTTCCGATCAATCGTCCCGAGCCTCATATCACTCAAACCCCCCGGTTTCGGCTTCCCTCTCTCCGTCGTCTCACTAAACTCCACTTGCACCACTGACATTTGCCGCTGCACATTACAAAACCTCAATCAATCAATCAAACAAACACCACAATTTCACAAATCCGATCAATCAAAACAAAAACTAGGGTTTCCAAAATCGAAAAAAAAGCAAGAAGATTACAATTTCATCGGGACTCAGAATTCCGAACTGAATCAAGTGAACTTTCGTAACCTCTGCTGGTGAATACGGAAATCTAGTATCCATCTTTGCAGGTAGTCAATTAATCAATAAAATTTCACTCAAAACAAAATTAGGGTTTCGAAATTGATGAACTTATAATCAAATTTTTTTTCCAAATTGAAATTGAAGATGTTCTTCTGCAGTGTAGTAAGTGAGTTACTTCGAAGATTTTTGTCTTTTTTTTTTTTTTTTTTTTTTTTTTTTTTTTTTTTTGGATTATGGAGGGAGAAATGGAGAATTTGTGGATCTCTCCGTAACCAATTCTCTCTCTGCGGCGGAAGAGAAGAGAATGAGAAAATAGGGAGAATTGGAGACCCGAGGGGTTTATTTATAGACGGAGAGCCGGATGTTTCGGGTTGTGAATTGACGAAAGTGCCCTTGTGAAGATAGGTTCAGATTGTCCTTGTGTTAGACCGACTTTCTTGGTTTTGTGCCATTTAGGCCCGTTATTGTTACGATTTTTAGTTGGTTAGCCTAATATTTAAGGTTTGAGTCCAGATTAAGCTCTACTTCCTCCGTTTCACAATGATGTTTCTGTTTGGAATCTTTGACTTTTTTTAAAAATAAGAGAGAATTTTCTAAATTTATCTCAATTTATAAGAACAAATATAGTCATGTGGAATATCAATCTGTAATAACAAATATAGTCATGTGGAATCTAGTTTGATTCATCTTGATCTGACTTTTATAATTTTTGATAATGTGATACTAAATATATTTGCGGTCAAAGATAGGTAAAAATTTGCATCGATTTACATAAACATAAATATCATTATAAAACGAACGGAGTAATATTTATTTCACCATTTATTTATTTATTTTACTTAAGGTAAGCATGTAACTCTAGCATTTTATGAAATCAAGTCAAGCTATGCTAAAATGGGAAAAAGGGCTTGTATAAGCATATTCATTAGAATTGCTTGTATCCCTTCTAGCCACTAAATGAACTATAGAGTTAAAAGTCCCAATTAACATGAGAAAATGTACAAATTTCAAAAGCCTAAGTATTCCTTATAATGTCTCCTAAAATGAGACGAGTTGGAGAAGTCTTGTAGCTAGTGCACAGTGCAGTTGACCCATGATCACATTAACTACATAGCACTCACCCTGTAACATACTACACCCCAAACATTGTTCCAACGAAAAGGGTACACATAGACATAGTCTATGTGTAGCCCGACATAGACAAGACTTTCTATTGGCTGAAGAAGTTGGCCCACATGAATAGTTTTAAAATTTTGTTTTGAAACTTTTGCAAATGAAAAAATTTGAATCTAAATTCGAATTTAATTGTACTTTTTTGCTGTGAATGATGTTGAGGAATTGCGAGAAGACGCAATGAATGATGTTTAGAATTTGCAAGAAGACACAATAGACGACCGACGACGGTGGCTTTAAGGTGAGGGTCGACGAGGGTGGCTTTAAGGTGAGGGCCGACGACGGTGGCTTGAAGGTGAGGGGTGACACGGTGGCTTTAAGGTGAGTAAGGTGGTTGAGAGGAAAGGAAGGGCAAACTGTCGACGTAATCAGAGAGCGATGTGGTTTAGAGTATGAAATGTTGGTCATGCTAAATCAGAGAGTAATGTGGTGGTGTCGGAAACAATGGAGGGTGAAATCAAAGTCAAACTACGGGTTATGAATCAGCAAAAGAGACGACGTAGACCATTTGTATTGTTGTAGGATTGAATTAGTTTTGAAAATATTTTGTAATTGATCATATGTGTTAATCTAGTATCAAAACTTATTGTTTTGGTATTATATTTATTATATTAGTATGAAAAATGAATGTTTTATAGACAAATTAAAATTCATATCAGATTCTTAGTTAGGGTATAGTATGGACAGAATTATGACAAAATGTTTTAATTATAAAAACTATGTTTGTTGTTGATTTTTTTTCCTGAAATTTGTAGTTTTGTTTACATCATATGTGATTTTCAACTTGAAAATTTTGAATTCTAAATTTGAAATGATTTGTACTTTTTGCGGTGAATGATGTTAGAGGATTTGCGAAAAGATATTATAGAGGGCTGACGACGGTGGCTTTAAGGCGAGGGTCTACGATTGTGGCTTTAAGGTAAGTAAGGTGGCTGAGATGGAAGGAAGAGCCGATGGTCGACGTAATGAGAGATTGATATGGTTCACAAGTAGTTTCATCTACACTTCTATGTGGGTCAAGTATAGACATTCACTAAAATGAATTTTAATTGATTGAGCAAGTGGAACCCAATAAATTTGCTTATAATTTTCTGAATTTTAAACTAATTCAGCACAATTACGAGAGTCCCACCTAGCTACGAGATGGGCCACCGTATTACCTGCTCTACGTACATGAGACAAGGATTTACTAAGCCGAACAATATCATCATAAACCAAGCAACTTGGGGAACATCCATCCACGAGTTGGCGCACCTTATTGACCACATTCACCACATCACTTTCAATCCAAACCTTGTCAATACCCAAGCATAAGGCCAATTGGCAACCATAGCGAGCCGCTGCTGTTTCAGCTACTTCAATGTTCATGTTCGCAGTAATTCTCTTAACAGCAGCCCATAAAATGGTACCATTCCAGTCCCTCGCCACCACACCTAAGCCCCCAGCAGTTCCATCACCTATGTGAGCATCAATATTTATTTTTACAACACCCTGGGGAGGCCGAACCCATCTGCTAACAGCAGCAGTAGCAGGACAGCCTTATGGCTTAAAGACTTTGGTGGCATACAATAGTAAAACCCACAGCAACAAAAGTAATATCAAGAGATGCATTATCATGTACACGCTTGTTTCTGCAAAACCAAATAGCCCACGCAATATTCAAAACCACTACAAGAAAAAGGTCAAATTCCGACGGATCAATTCCGACAGACACGAAAATCCATCGAAAATTACTATTTTTCCGACGGATTTAATTTCCGTAGGAAATTTCCGACGAATTTGGAATTTCCGTCGAAAAATTCCGACGGAATTTAAATCCGTCGAAAAATACTTAATTTCCGACGGATTTTATTCTGTAGGAAATTTCCTACAGATTAATCCGTCGGAAATTAAGTGATTTCCGACGAAATTAAATTCGTCGGAAATTTTTCGACGGAATAAAATGTGTTTCCGACGGAATTTTGATTTTTTAAATTAAAAAAATTCTCTAACCCTAATATATTTTCTCAGCCGCCCTTACCCTTCATTTCTCTTTCCTCTCTTTCTCTCTCCTCCCCTCATTCTTCTTGTTCTCCTTCTCCCTCATCCTCTCTTGTTCTCCGCCCCTTCTTGTTTCCCCTCATTCTCACTGTTTCTCCTTCTTCCTCCTCCTCTCTCTTCTGTTTTCTTCTCTCTTCTTTCCCCTTTCCTCTTTTTTCCCTTTTTCTATCAAGGACTCGAGATTATCATGTGATGTTTTTCTTCCACGGTTGACTAAATGACTAGTAACCCAAACCACACCAACAAAAGCCGACGAATTCGACCATTAAAGATTTTGTTTTGCATATTTTAAAGGTTTTTAAGGCCAAATTCGACCATTAAAAGCCTAGATCTAGACTTTTCATGGCCGAATTTGGCCTTGTTAAACCGTTTCCGTGGTGAAATTTGAAGCATATTTCAATTTCAGGTATGTTTTTATTTTTTGATTTTTTCCTGAGTTTTTTTTTTTTTTTTTTTTTTTTGGAACTTTTTGGATTTTGGAGTTGTTTCTGATGGGTTTCGGTGGGTGCAGATCTGGGTTAGGAGTTTCGATGGGTGCAGATTTGGTCAGGAGTTTGGGGAGAGTGGTGGTGTTGTTCGGGTTAGGGTGATTGGTGGTGGCTGGTTTTCGGGCTAGGTTGATTGGTGGTGTGGTTCGAGCTAGGGTGATTGGTGGTGTAGTTCGGGCTAGGGTGAGTGGTAGTGTGGTTCGGGTAAGGGTGGGGATAATTTAGATCTAGGCTTAGGGTTAGTTTGGGGTAAGTGGTGGACTGGTGGTGTGAGCAGGGGTAGTGGCGGTGGTGGTGTGGTTTGGGTTAGGGTTAGGGGCTGGTAGTGGATGATGTAGCGGTGGTGATCTGCTGGGGGTTAGGGTGGTGACACGCCGTGCCAGGGGTGGTGCGGCGTGTTTTTTTTTATCCTGGCTGAAACATTTTCCAACGGAAATTCCGTCGGAAAGTTACGACGGAGTACTATTCCGTCGGAAATTTACGACGGATTTTTTCTGGGCCAAAAACTTTCTTCCAACGCATGAATTTCGACGGAATTTTTAGTCGAAAACGTGTTTCCGACGGAAATTTCGTCGGAAAAAGTCTATTTTCTTACAAAAGGTTTTCTGACGACAATTTCCGACGAAATTCCGTCGGAAAAAACGTTTACCGACGGAAAACAGGGTGTTTTCGAGGGATTTTTTCCGTCGAAAAACAGCAGTTTTCTAGTAGTGAACATTCCTGAGTTTCCCTTTATCGGTTTTCTCATCCATCCAAAGCAACCACTCGGTAAAAGGAGCTTGGCGAGGGGATTCAACAATAATTATAGCAAGGTCATTAACCACCCATACTTGCTGGATTTCAGTACATTAAAAAAGAGCATGAGCGATTGATTCCACCTCTACCCCGCACCCACCACAAATCGCATCCGACGCAATATGTCTTCGGTGAAGTTCATGTTTTACAGCCAAGATACCTTTACAAGCAGACCAAGTAAAGTGGCACAACTTTGGAGGACCATTAATATGCCATATAATACGCCAAACAAGGTCATTTGAGCTTCCTGTATCGTTCCTCATCTGGGCAGCCCCTAATTTTCCCAGCCAGTATGCAGTCCTCATAGAGAAATTACCATGTTTGCCCGGCCACCAGAACTTAGCATCATTTGGCAGATTCAGAGCTAAAGGGATTTGCATAATGTGGTCACATACCTCATTTGAGAACAATTGATGCAGCACCTCCATCTTCCATTCACCACATTGTTGATCAATTAAATTTGCAACTCTTAGCTCTGGGTCGAAATAAAGGAGTTGTGTCTTCGATAAGTGCAATTACTAGATATATCAAGGATCACTATTATGGAGATAATAAGTTTGTTCTCTTGGGGAGTCATCATCTGTTGCTAGACTATGAGAGATGATCTTTGGACTAGTCTAATAGTCCAAAGCCCGCTAGAATGGATTCTATGAGGTCACACACAAGGGTATTGGGTTAAGCAAGTTAGAGGCCCATTAATGGGCCTCATGAGCAATTAACTAATCATGAAATGGATTGGGTTAGCATAGTTAGATTTGAATTAGGTTTTGGGCTTTTGACATGGGCTCTTATTTAGAGATGATATCTATAAATAAGATCCATGCCTAGGGTTAAAAGGAAGCAGTCATAATTCACACACAGTGACTTTTGACATCAAGGCAACCAATCCCAAAACCCTAATTCCCTCTCTAATTCACGGCTCCATCTCCTCCCCCCTTTGGACTCACGGTCGGCCACCCTTGGTGGTGCGTGTGGTGGTTCGTGGT